TTGAGAAACAACATTATTGGGTTGATGCCTGGGGGCGTAATAATTTAACGATTAAAATATTATTTGCAGTCTACAGTCTGGATATATAAATACCCACACGTTTGAGCTTAATTGTACCAGTGTAAGTGAGTATAAATCCATCCAGCACGCTCACCCACGCATGTTATGTCGAATACTGTTTATTCAGCAATTTGTGTTAATATCTTACATCTAATTAAAAGTTAGCCAACCAAGGGACAGTAATTCCCCGCAGTAATATTTATATTAAGCAAATAATTGGAGAACACAATAAAGATGAAGGCTTCTCTGTTTCCCCTCACGCCGTGATCAAAATACTGCAGTTCATCAAAGCGTTTCATTAAGTCTCGCTTCATTTAGAAAACTGATAATGATACAAATTAGTGCTTTCGTAATGTGTTAATATTCAACATGATTAACTCTATAGTAATATTTCTATACATTTGAGCATCATGTCAATGACAGCAGAAAGCGTGGGTTGGTGCCACTGAGATTCCAGCAGATAGTTGGACTGACCTCTAATTTATCAAATATTATTACATCAGACAGCTGTCGTCTTCTTCTAGTACTTAACTCCGCGAGCACCCTTTGAAGGTTTAATGAACTTGCCCACAAATGTTAATCTTTTATTGCTCCCAATTAATCTTGGCACTTAATCCCCGCCCCTCCCTAAGAATTGTGGCTATGTGTCGGGTGTTGTTTGCATGGAGAATTGCCATAAAAATGACCCGTGAGAACCCCACAGTACCATAAAACACCACTGAAGGACTGCTGAAAAACGCTGGTCCGTTCAGTGAAATTTTGCTTTCAATGCTAATGTAAGTCCTTTGTCTTTGTGTTCTACTCTGTGGGTCACTGTGCACCTAATATAGAAGCACTAAAAACAGTTTTCTCTCCCGTGTCGACATATTTCTTATTAAAATAGAAAGTTTAAAGTTTTTGAAGTAGCTAACAGGCTTTTGTTGTCACAATCATAAATGATGATTTGCTACTTGTTATAGTCAGCCACCTCATACTACACAATCTTTTTAAACTTCTAAATTCTGTTAAGAATAACAAATCATAAGACACAGATAATACAGTTTAGAGAATGGTATATTAAATACTACTATTACTACTACTACTAATATTAATACATGTTTTTAATGAATAATAATAATAAGTTTTAAGGTAGTGCTTATAATATAATAGATTTGTAATATAATATATATACTACCATTTAAACGTTTGGGGTCAGTAAGAATTTATTTTTTAAGAAATTAATTCTTTTATTCAGCAAGGATGCATTCAACTGATCAAAAGTAACAGTAAAGACATTTACAATGTTACAAAAATTATCTTTCAAATTAATGCTTATCTTTTATATTTTATATTATTTTCTACTTTGTTAATCAAAGAATTTTGACGAAAAAAAACAAACAACAACTATTTTTAACATTGACAATAAGAAAAAATGTTTCACGAGCAGCAAATCCGCATATTAGAATGATTTTTGAGTGATTATGTGACACTGAAGACTGGAGTAATGATGCTGAAAATTCAGCTTTGCCAACACAGCTTTTTACTTTTAAAAAAAAATTTTTTTTTTTACTCATTTTACAGTTATTTTTAGCATTCTAGAGAAAATCTGGAGAAAATCTGCGTAGTGCAGGATGAGTCTTCAATATTTTACATGTGTTTTCCTGAAAGAGAAAAACTGCATATTTTAAAAGCATTCTTCTACATTTATGAGTACACTAGTATATCGATGTCCTCACAGTTAAATACCATGCACTAAAAGCCAGAAAATGAGGTCTTCAAACAGGGTCAGGGTTGAGCAAGTAGACTGACTGTTGTAGATTTGCTATAGGTTGCAATATTTATAGATTCTGTTGACTGCAGTTAAATCCATCTCGGTAATTTTTAATACTAGCGGAACATTTGCAATGCGGCAATGTGTTCTTGTTACTGCAAAATTCAGTTAGCCTCAAGAATAGCAATCTATCTGTGTATATGCTTTTTCAAACCCTTTATAGGTGACCATCTGGCGGCATTCAAATGCTATGGCCGCTTAGCTGATCTCTTTGCTTTGCCCAGGAAAACTGTCATCTATGGCACAGAGTGACTGTAACTAGCCAGACCGCAGGCAAACTGGCATGGCTAGCAAACTGAGAGTGCAGAAAAAAAAAAAAAAATCTCGAGAAGCCTGTAGCCTGGCCCTCCTTCACCTTCACAGACGGATGCATCTCACAGCCATGTTGAAATCCGACACGTATGGAGCCGCATTGAACAATCTGTTTCTTAAATAATTTTTTTTTAAACTTCTAAACCGATTTAACAATATGCATGAATATTCAAACACGCTTCCTCACAAGGGCACATTGTAATGCATATTTAAACATTAAGGCTGCAGTACAGTCTTTAGTACTTTTCTCTGTTAAAAAGGCAAATTGGATGGCATTTTCATGCTGTTTTGGGATAAAAGTGAAATCCAGCAAATCAGTGGCACGGTCATTCAAAACAATAGCAATCAGCACAAACAACATCCATCTGAAGTGTTTTTCCTCACTCAGAAGATGATAAATCCTTTCTCTAAACGTCTACAGCTGAATCCGAGCCATCACTGTGCCAGCATGTGCAAAAGTAAAACAAAACAAAAAAAAAAATCAGTTTCCACAGTTGCGGGCATTGATTCGTGCTTTTGATACTTACCTCAGAATTCAGACGCGCTGAAAAAGTTTCACACAAATGCATTCGATATCAAATAAGTACACAGCGTTCGTCTGAATTCCTTGAGGACCAGCCAGATGAATAAAACGAGTGAATGTATAGATTTTGTGTTTACTGGTTAAGAGCTATGTGGGGTAAGTGAGAGTTGTTGATAAGTTGACGTCGCCCTGATTTAATTAACACTGGGTTAGGATCAGTAAAGTCGATAAAAAGAGACTGATGAACTAACGCTCCTCCTTTTGGTCCCCTATCTTTCTTGCTTAAAATTCTCACAGCAACAAAAGAATATGAAACTAAACAAACTGCAACGACTTTAAATCTATTAAGTACTGAATCTCCTCTAACAACTATGTAATTGTGAACTCACCCCAACACCCAGTTGGTCTCATAAATCTTTCAGCTCATCCTGACTGAATTGTGTATTTTAAATACAACAGACCCCTGGGTGCAGAGTTTAGGCTGTAATTATTTCTGCAATGACCCTGCCATCGTCTACACATTAAAAGATAATACATTTAAATTTATGGAAATCCTAATTAGGTGCATAGAGCTAGAATCAAGCGATCTAAGCACAAGCTCATTAATGATAATCTAATGCAAAGAAAAATAAACAAACTGAGATCTCTGAAAAAATAAATACTAAATACTCTAATTTTCCCTAGTAACGCCCCCTCCCCAAATCGCCTACATGGTTATATGATGGAGACGAGGATCGTTACAAGCACAATTAACTTTATCACTGCTAGTCATCACTGAATTTGATTAACCACATGTGAGACATTAGAAATCACAGAGTACATGTTATTACAAAATACAGTTCACTCTGTGCCTGCTGGCCACTAGTGAGTCTGATTAGTCTAATTACTGCACTTGATTAGTGACATCCCATAGTGGGCTGAGTCAAGGCAGTGACTGGAAAGGATTACGATAGTTTATCTTTTTTTTTTTAAATAAAGCAAATGTAAGAATAACTGTATATTGTTAGCTAAATTTAAACATGAACACTTTACTGGACTAAGTCAGCTTAGGTTTGCTTGATTATCCATACATGATTTTTTTTTAAATGTTAAAATGTGAGTATGAAATATGATGTATTAGGGTTTTGAGGAATGTTTATTTGTACACCTCTCCATCATTGTATTTTATGTTTTGCCCCCACAACAATAACTACAGAGATTTGATCATTAAACTAAGCATTTAAATAACATCTTAGACATTATTGGGAAAGAAGTTCATTTAAAATTTTGTCCATATAAAGTTTTTTGACTATTGTTACATATGACAGGTTTTACAGGGTTACAATTAAAATGAATTATAGCTAGTTAAAAAAAAAAATGATAAAAACAATACTCAACACACTCAAACCACCACCACCTCAAACTAATAGGAAGTGACGTAATTTCAGTCTTTTTCAAATGTTCAAAAGTTATACTCTCATATAACATTCAGAATTTGTTGTTTTTTGATGCTTGACAAGATTCGTCACCAATTATACATCCACCCGTCACATAAAAAAAATGGTTTTTTTTACTAGTATTTATAGAAATGACATATTCCTGACTTCTGAAAGCTAACAATAGAAGGCCATGATCTTCATAACGTGAAGAGCAGCAGCCGTTCTGGTTTAAAATGTACCACCTCATCACTAATTAAATGTATTTTAAAAAGATACACTTCAAAAATCACCGTTTCAAAATGGAAAAAGCAGCGTTTTCGTCTCTGTGCACTCAACCAAGTGGTTAAATGAATCACTGGTGCAGAGACATCTGACGTCATTCTCACTAGAATGATAGATCTAATTTGTGCCACAGGAAATTAAAACAGGGAGTTTGCATGCCCCCAGGAGATCTTCTACACACACACGCGCAATGTCAGGTTCACAACTCGCTTCTGGGTAGTGTTGTCACGGTACCAAAATTTCAGTATTCGGTACCAATACCAGTGAAAATCCACGGTTCTCGGTACCAATTTCGGTACCAAAGCAAAACACAAAATCATGCTAATTAAAAAATTTGACATGGATTCATTTAATCCAAACTGTGTACATATTTAATTCTAAAGGGACACACACACACACACACACACACACACGTACGTGTTAACTGATTTGTGAAGCAGGAGCACCATGAAACCTGTATTGAGGTCTCGTGAGTATTTATATACACACAGTCTGACTGAAAACACCTTTTGTGTCTGGACTATATTAGACACATTTTTGTTGCCTAAGAACAGGACAGACATTTTCACTGGAAGAATGCTGCTCAATTAATACCGTTCCTATCCAAACACAACAAAAGCCAGAAAATCCTATCTTTGTTAGTGATGCTTAAACTACACAACAACATATTTAACTGAGATGAAGATCGAAAGCTAAAGAAAGTTGCTTGTTGTTTTGTTATTGTGCGGATGATTACAGTGTTTGATGCTAGCTGCAAGAGTGACACTTTGAATAAACGTGTGCACTCACTGAATGGAGTTCTCGATGCGGGAGATGGTGAGGAAAGCAGCCAGATTTGCTGTGTAGGAGGAGATGACTATCAGAGCAAAGAGCCACCAAACCCCCATCATCATCCTTGTAGCCAAAGTCGTGTAGGGCACCTCACCACCTGTAGAGAAACAGGAGAAAAGAGCAAACAAAAAAGGCTGATGATTGTGCTATCTTTGAAATTACATCAGACGTGTGAGCTTTCAAAATATCTTTTAAATAAAGACCAATTTGGCAGCCAAATCTAGTTTAGTTCATCATATGATGGATCAAAAGAGTCATTCTGGTGACAGTTTTGCCAAATTTGAAGAATATTTAAAAAAGGCAAGTAAATTATGATTCAAAACTTAATTCAAGATATATTCTCTAATTATGTTTGTATATTTAATGAGATAATATATAGTTAATATGTTCAAATGTTTAACATTTTATAACACACATTTAATAATCTATATTACATCCATATCATTATTCTCTGTGCTCTCACTGAAAATATATCAGAAATATAACAGAAGAATATATTAGAAATATACATATAAACATAACATATCTTGGATGTTTAGAATTTTTTTTTTTTTTACTGTAAAATAGGATAAAAACACTGATTCGTTTTTTTTTTTGCATTGTAAACAATGGCAGTGAAATAATAATAAAAAATATGTCATGTTCGTCCCAAGCTATTTGTATTGTTAAATGCATCGTTATATTTCTGTATGTAGTTTGAATAAAAAGGGCTTCATCTTTAGTAGTGCAGTACTCTGACAGCCTGGAAACAAATGGAGGTATCCGAGTGTGCAAGATCCAAACAACTGAGACTTTAACGATGGAAAAAACTCCATTAGAGTCAGACAAAAAAGGCCATCAATTGTAATGTCAAATCTACATTTCCCCAGTCACCACAGTCAGAGCAAAATCACATCTGTTTATTCTGCATTTCAGATCCCTGCTAATTCACCAGCAAGAAAAGACAGCGGCTCCTCTAAAAGTACTGCATACCACAATAATGATGGATCTGCACAATTCAAGGCTCGCAGCAACACTGAAAACTGTTAAAAAAATGTGTCCCATCTATTCTCGTGGCTTCCCGTATCATTCCAGCCTTGTGTGGTAAGTGCCAAGCATTTCAGCACTCAATAAGGTATCTGACAACTCTATTTCTGTAGGGGGTCCGCCGAGATGAGCTGTCTTATTAAAGAAAGTTTTTAGATGATTCACATACATACGTCCCGCAGGCTGTGTATTCTCTGCTCCACACAAACTTTTTGCAATTTTAATTTCAGCAAACAAGTCCACGAGAGCAAGTTGGCCCACTCATTTTTTTATAATCAACAATCTTGGGTTATCAGACTTTAAGGTTAGGGAGGTGTCCTATTTAAAGGGCACTGCTTCCTTCATCTGCTATGTAAACCTCAGAGATTTTGAACTTCAATTTAAGCAAATGTCAGTGAATACTCAACAAGCTTCTTTCAGCTGACTCTATACCAGTAATTTGCTAAGAATAAATCACTAAAGGAATTAAACCCATCCATCCATCCATCAAAGTTTTATGAAAACAATTCAACAAAGACATCGGTAAACTATTATAGAAAGTTTATTAATACACATTTGAGTGATTCTGAGAATGTAAAGTTGTTGAAAAAGGGATAAAGTAAATCAATAAATATTATTGGCTCTAAACATTCATGCACAAAATTATTCACATTTATTAAGTCACATTTTGTGCAGAATCTTTTAAAACACTGCCTGTAAGTGCTTAGAAGCTTCTGTCACCTCTCTACTGCAATCGTGGCCAATTCCTCACTTGAAAAAGTCTTTGTTTTTTTTAATGTTGTCACTATTTTCTTTAAATTCCACCAAATATTTTCAATGAGATTTAAGTTTGAAGACTGAACAGGCCACGTAAGAACATTCCATGACTGATCCCTGAACCAAACTTCAGTAGATTTGGATGTATACTTAGGGATGGATGTCCTGCAGGAAAGTCCATTTATCATCAAGCTTTAGTTTCTGCACCGAAGGCATCCCAATCTTTGCCAAAATGGCTTGATACTTCAAAGAATCCATTGTCTATCAGATTTTAGTTTTTACATAAAAAGTACATGCGTCCTTCAGGCAGAACTAATTTTTTTGTTTCTTTTCTGAATAATGAAACTTTAGTTCCTAAATAAAATGAGGTTGAAATTTTGACTGATTATCTTCATACCCAAGCACATCTGTGAAATGAAAAATAATCATACAAACAAAACCAACATCTGTAAAGCCTGTGTTATACTTTCCGCATGAGCAATCCGGACGCGTACACGGACAGCGCGGACACGGACTACTTGTATTTATACTTCCGAAAGCATACGCTGATGGTCCGCTCCGCGGACGTGTTCTCGGTGAGAACATTTGTTCGAAATCGAGGCAATCGACTAAAAAACTCATTTCCATATTCAACAGCGCTTCAAAAAGAAGATAATGGTAGAAACTGGATGGCAGTGCAATGAAATATACATTTTAGTGAAGATAGGAGAGATATAACAGAGGTTTGTAACCTACAGTACTTCTTATATCCTGAAGCAAATATGTTACAGGAGAAAGCATGATAAATGAAGGAAAAAAAAATCTCTAACTATAGTTTAGGAAAAAACTGTTTTTAGTTGAGTGCTCATACTGGTGCAGAAACTCTGGCCTGGAGCCTGCTAAAGCAAATTAATGTACAAAATAATCAGTCTTTATATAAATGAGACTGAACACAGCTACAGGAGGCCCTCTAAATTTGAAGTTTGGAGTTACAAAGTCACGATACGATACGTATCACGATACGGGACTGCACTGAATTTCACCTCAGAAGAATTTAGTAAAACAGCTGTTTATTAAACACGGCATACTATAGTGCCATTTAGCAGACAGCTGACCTCTGCATTACGAAGGGCCTCCATAACTGTACCACAGTACAATATAGGTAATGGCATATGTTTCATGTTTACATTGGGCACTCCCCACCAGGTACAATATTCTGATTGTTTGCATCTTGTTTTTAAGCCCATAAATAATAATGGGCTCAGTCACTCACACAGATCACGTTGCGGCACGTCTCTTTATATCAGGCAACCCAGTTGTGTTCCTCTGCGGCCAGATTAAACCTTGTTATAGCCTAT